GAGGAACGACAAGTACAAAATAATGTCTGCAAATCTTTTTATCAGAGAAGAATATAAATTAAAGGAAGAATCTGGATGAAATAGTGTAGAAACAGGGACCTGGCTGACTCAGTAGCATATTTTAAAACACACTTTTAACAGAGCTGAAAAAATTAGCATGTTGTCTTCCCTGAGTCTTGTTGTCAGGGTCAGGGTGACAAAACCTTATTACTGTGAGATTGCCGGGTTTTGTAGCTGTTGATGCCTGTCCCTACACCAAAACTAAAACCTGTGCTTACTGAGCCTATCTGGCAACCTTGGTGCTACCGCTGGAGACACTACACATACAGTAAGTACTGGGCGGATGGATACGCTGTTGTTCAACAAGAACACGAAGAAAACGTCCTGACTCCAGCTCTATACTTAACACAGACATGAGACTGATATACATCTTATCAACTCGCTCTCTGAAGGAAAACAAATACTATAAAATAAACTTCAATTAAAAGCAGAGTCTCGGTGTGCCAACATGTTTTGACAAATATACGGACGTCTCAATTAGAAGCCTGGTCTGGTTTTGTCCTTTGGATGTGTACAACTTCTTAAAGCCCACCAGGTCGCCTGCTTGAGCTATTTCAAGGCTGATTAAATTGTGCATTCAAATATTTATAGTTTAAACTTTTGTCAGTATGAACATGCTTCACATCATAAGATACGAATAACACATCCACAATTCAATTGTTCAGTTCATGTTATGGAAACAATTACCACCAAGTGTTATTCGATCAGATTCACCGGCATGATGAAGGAATTCAAGGTCTGTCCTATATAGACACTAGTCCCAAATATAGGCAGTTCAGTGATTTAAGCAAATTAAAGCCTGGTCTATTAATGGAAGTTTTACGGTAAGAGGATTGAAATGTTGAAATATTCCGTTTAGAAATGCTTCTGAAATGTTTAGCCATGCTAACAGCACGGCTCGGGATGGTAATGTCGGTCTGTTGGTCCACCACTTTGGTCCAGACTGAAATACCTCAACTATTGGACAGGTTGCCATGAAATGTGGTTCAGTCCTTCATGTTCCCCTCAGGATGAACTTTAATAACTTTGGTGATGCTCTGACTTTTCATTTAGTACCATCATCAGGTCAACATTTTAATTTGTCTCATGGCGATTCATCCTGTTGGAGTTGGAGCTGATCAATGTTGAACAGCAGTTACTTTTAGTGAATTGAGGAGATGGTATGCACGACCCAAGAATCAGAAGACAGAAATGCGACTGCTACCGATTTCAGTTCTAACCCGTTCTCACTCCCAAGTCGTCACTTATGGACGCATGGACAAGAGCCATAGTTGTCAGTTTGTTTCGCACTGGGGATCCCTTTACCGTCATAGTTCAACGCAGCGGGGGAAGCCCTGTAGCCTTGTTTTTTGACAGTAAAGGCAGGTATATGATTTTTAACAGAAAAGACTGAGTAAAAGAGGTGGTTGGGGTGGATGGAAGCCCAGAACCCCGACTTTGAACCACCGACCGGGTTCGTGTCCCCTGTGAAAAAAAAAGATAAATTTAAAATCATTTTATTTAGGTATGTTACGTAAATTGACGTAAGTGACGTTACTTAAGTTATGTGTTAACTGACGTACGTGGCTATGTGTGGGCTATGGCGTAGATTTGACACAGAAGGATAAATTGGCCTTTAGTCTTTTTTAAACATTACTTCAAACAGACATAAGAGACAATGACTTTTGCTGACATTACAAGAAAAGAAACTGGCCTCTCTTATGTGAATGTTGTGTATTTTGCATAATCGTCATTCACTGATCCAAGTTTTGCATGTTTATTCTGACGTCACCCAAAGTTGCCAGATCGTCTGTGAAACATAATCTGCACACACAATCAACACACTATACGATTTTAACCCATCTGTCACTGCAACCTGGTAACACACAACTTGATCCAAGGGGCGTGTACAGAATATACTTTACAGGGCAGATAAGCGTTGACAGTCTCAGTCTTTTCTCGAGTACTAAGGTACGAGTTTTGGCTGGTCAATGGTCAGTCTTCAAAGGAGTTTCAAGAAACCTTTTGCATCATCAGTGATGTAAGACCTTTTTATATGCTCACCAGGGGAACACACACAGGGATCTCTACTCTCTGTCCCAGGAAACAAAAAGCTTTATCTTCATTGAAAAAATCTGGAGTGAGCGGCTGAAAGAACTCCAAACAAAACCCCCCAAAACAGTCCGGTCTGCAGTTTATGAGACTTCCTGTGGGAGTCTGTGAGAGCTGGAGTGTGTATGTATCTCAGCCTCCCACTCTTCAGCTCCTGACGCATTATGTTTGAGGTTCAGTTTTTAATGAAGTCTGGGTGTTTACAATCTTATTGATCGGTCACATAAGGCTCTGTCCTGCAACAGGCTCAGCTGTTTTCCTCCTGTGAAAACTATAAACAGACCACAATATACGATTCCCTCATGTTTAAGAGGGGGAGATTCATCAAAATTAACATAACTACTAAGAGGTGGTTGAAAGAAGGTACCCACAAAAATGCATTCAAAATCCCACGTAAGTAAGTAAAAGTAATGCTTTTGCAGCAAAATGCCTGACATTATTAGATTTTTAATACCAATGAATCAATGTATATACAGTCAGCTAGTTTTATTACTATATATACAGCTAGCTAGTTTTACTACTAAATATACAGTCAGCTAGTTTTACTACTTTATATAAAGTTAGCTGGTTTTACTATTTTTTTACAGTCAGGTAGTTTTACTACTTTATATACAGTTAGCTAGTTTGACTACTTTACAGTCAGTTTACTGTTACTAACGTTACTACTACTACGACTACTACTTTATATATAAAACTAGCTGATTGTATATACAGTCAGCTAGTTTTACTACTTTTTTTTCCGTCAGCTAGTTTTAGTACTTTATATACAGTTAGCTAGTTTTAGTACTTTATATACAGTTAGCTAGTTTTACTACTTTCTTACAGTCAGCTAGTTTTACTACTTTATATACAGTTAGCTAGTTTTACTACTTTCTTACAGTCAGCTAGTTTTACTACTTTATATACAGTTAGCTAGTTTTACTACTTTCTTACAGTCAGCTAGTTTTACTACTTTATATACAGTTAGCTAGTTTTACTACTTTATATACAGTTAGCTAGTTTTAACTACTTTATATACAGTTAGCTAGTTTTACTACTTTATATACAGTTAGCTAGTTTTACTACTTTATATACAGTTAGCTAGTTTTACTACTTTCTTACAGTCAGCTAGTTTTACTACTTTATATACAGTCAGCCAGTTTTAACTAAATTCTATAAAAGTGGTTATATTTACTAAATATTTAATGATGCATTATTTTATAAGATTATTTTTAATCTAAAATCTTAATTTGAAAGGTAACTATAGCTGGCCAATAAATGTAGTGCACCAAAAAGTAGTTTACAGCTATTTGGCTCTAAAATTAAGTGTATAAGTGGATGAAAATGGAAATACTCAAATAAAGTACCTCATTACTGTACTGAAGTACAGTACCTAAGTAGATATACTTAGTTACAACCCACCACTGTAGATGTCCACTTCACATCATCACTCTTGTAAGGCTACATGTGTCTACAGCAGCTTGGATACAGTTATCAGTTGCCTGCACATATGAAATCAACTCACTGCTTCTTAATGTTATTTTTAAAGCAGTTCATTTATTGCCAGTATGTCCTCTCTCCTGTTGCATGGCACCATTTCTCAATCAGTGACAGAACAGCAGGATGACCTTCACTCCAACGCCACAGACTCTCTGCAGCTCATCTTGAGCCAGTGCTGCGACCAAGTGGCCGAGTCTTCACATTACAGCTGAGTTAAAACCAAATCCACAACCGCACATGGATATATTGAAAAGCAAGCATTATACTATGCAACCCAAACCCCAACACAAACACTCAGATCCTCAAAGGCCATCAGTATAAAACAAATAATTAACAACAGAATCTTTTGAGCTGTATGATCGCGGATTTCCCAATGTTCCTTCTGATCTGTGCAGCTGCTATTAATTCTCACATCTCTCTAGTTTCTCCATGAGGCCATGGTGCAAATGCACTCCAGGATTCATGTAATGGTCGTTTTTCATATCGTTTTAATATCAAATGACCAAAGCATCTGAGTGAGTTCTGACTGAATCATTGTTATGTCTTTGACAGTTTATCCTCCATCTCAAGTACAAACTCATCTCCTTGAAGAACTGAATTAGTGTTCCATATAGAGCTAAAACAATGAGTCGATTAACAATTAATCTGTAACTATTTAATTTAAACAAAGATACTAAACATTACAAGTTGGAGCTCAATTGTGAGGATTTGCAATTTTTTTTCTTCTGTTATAGATAATTAAAATGTATAATTTCTGAATTTTGGACTGCTGGTTGGACAAATGCAAGCAATCTAAAGACATCAATTTGGGTTTTATTTATTGCTATTATTTTATCAATCTTAACTTCACCCTTCTGATCTTGATCTGTTTTGTGATTCTTATCTGATTATTCACAAGTCAGTATTATGTTTTATGTGAAGTTACTTTCTTAGTCAGGACACTCCTGAGATATTCCTGGTTAAATTAAGTTCTATACACGTACTGTACTTTGTGCACCAATAATCTACAAATTAATCGATAATGGAAGTAATCCCACATTACACTGAATGGCCACAACATTAGATTTGTATTCTTTGTCTAAATGCTCCTACAGGTGTAGAACTAAAATCTTAACAATCAATTCACATGTAGAGAATCAGAACTAAAGATCCCTAAAATATCCTTTCATTACTTTATCCACTACTTTATCCAAAATGCTAAAAGTTTAGATGTGTAACACTGTCTAACTAGGTCCGTTTACTTGCTTTTACCCGAATTTTCAATCACATCTCAGTTTTCCACAGTGGATAGAGTCTGTTCTGTAATCTGCTGAGAAAGCGTGAGAGGTGCGGTCTAAAGCTCTGGAAAAAGTTAGTAAGTGCACACCGAGTTAAAACTGATAATAGTCTGTTTATTTGATAAGAAACACAAGTTCAATCTGAACACTTTTTTAAACCAGCCAGTTTTGATAACTGCCTAAAACAATAAAGATATAACCTAAGTTTTTTTTCCCAGCACCAGAATAAAGACAGGCTGTAAATATACAGAAGCAATGCTTTATTAAAAGCACCTCAAATAAAGAATCAGAATGTGTGGTGAACCACGTCACTGCATGTGAACGGTGATCAGTCCATTTATCAGAGTCCAGATGGTAAAGCTGTTCAAAGATTACTGAAATCTGTTGATGAAAAACTCCTGAACAGAGTCAGAGTGAAGGAGAGCAGCAGCTGCAGGCGACCTCTGAGGATCAGAACATCACCACCTTCGTCTGTTTGGGTTTGGCTTTCTTCACTGGAACATGGACTTCTTCGTAGTCTGCACTCATATTGTTGGACAACCAGGGGACCGTCACCGAGTTAGCTAGAAGGAGAGAAATTAAAGAGTCAGAAATATAATAAAATGCTCTCCGCTTAGTAGTGTCTTTCTCTCCCAGATTACCTGAATGATGCAGAAGGAGAAACGTCACTCTACAGTCAACATAGTTAAGTTGCAGAGTAAGAAGAGCAGATGGTGCCACTGAACAGGCCGCTGTATTCAATTCAGTAAAACTACATACGCATTATTAGCTAAATGTACTAAGCATCAAAATTAAAAATACTTGAGATGCAGAAAAACAGCCCCCATTAGCGGAGCTACTCATACAAACCCAGCTGTTCAATATCTAACCTTATCAAACTCGTTTGATCCACCTGATTGTCACCAACTGAATCGTTTCTTTCAACTATACCTAAGTTGCAAAAACTCTAAAGATTTTCTCTAACACTCTAACGTGCTGCTTTAAATTACAGCTGAGATGATTAGTCAATTAATCGACCAGTCAATCAATGCAAAATTAATAAGAAAATATTTTAATAATCAATTGTTCATATTGAAATTTTCAAGCAAACCTACCAAATATTTCTTGTTCCAGCTTCTCAAACATGAGGACTTGTTAAGTTTCTTTGTCTTGTGTGATCATAAAAGGACTAACTTTGGCTTCGGGACTGATGGTCGGACCAAAGACGACATTTAGTGACGTCACCTTATTCAAAATTTTTGGGCAGAATAATCATTAATGAAAATAACTAAAATCAAAAAACAACCCATCGTGCTTTTGTAATAGCAAAATCTACCAGCGCCCGACTGTTGGCGCTGTGCACGGGGAATTTCTTGTTTTATAATGAAAATAAGTAGTTGTAGAAACTATCTACAGTGTCTGTCAATCAATCAATCATCCAGTCACCTGTTCAGCCAAACATATCCTGATGTTTTCGGTGTTGTTAGTCACTAGATGCTTAAGTTTGATTGTATTTCATAAAATACTAAAACACATCAGGAAGCCCTGAGGTTTTGGTCTGAAGATGGAGACAGAAGACACTCACTGGCAGCCTGGTGCTCCGGACAGTCCTTCTGGAAATGTTCCACTGAACCACAAACACGACAGCATCCTCCTGCAGACACAGAAATGATCATTCAAACGAGTGTCACATTAAAACTATACACTGTAGTGAATAAATGTGTTTGTACCTTGAGCGTAAAGTCCTTTAGGATTATCTGGGCAGGACCGCGACAAGTGTCCAGTCTGACTACAGATGAAGCACTTAGCATACGGGTAGTCACCTGACACAGAGGATATTTACATGTCATTCAAAAAGTATTACATATGAATCTATTCCAGATGAAAAGCTGAGAGTCTCCACGTGGTCCTCACCCAGAGCGGGGTCCACTTTGGCTCTGCATTTCTGGATTTCATGCTCGGTGGAGCCGCAGCGGTAGCAGATGCCTCGGCCCATCTCCTCATCCCTGTCGGCCTCCGGACAGTCGGCCAAACCGTGACCGGGCTTCCTGCAGTTAAAACACAGCTGGGGGAGAGAAGGAAACAACGGAAGGTGATGAGAGGAAGGAAAGGAGGAGAGGGGTGAGAGGAAGGAAAGGAGGAGAGTGGTGAGAGGAAGGAAAGGAGGAGAGTGGTGAGAGGAAGGAAAGGAGGAGAGGGAGGAAAGGAGGAGAGGGGTGAGAGGGAAGAAAGGAGGAGAGGGGTGAGAGGAAAGAAAGGAGGGGAGGGGTGAGAGGAAGGAAAGGAGGAGACGGGTGAGAGGGAGGAAAGGAGGAGACGGGTGAGAGGGAGGAAAGGAGGAGAGGGGTGAGAGGAAAGAAAGGAGGAGAGGGGTGAGAGGAAAGAAAGGAGGAGAGGGGTGAGAGGGAGGAGAGGGGTGAGAGGAAGGAAAGGAGGAGAGGGGTGAGAGGAAGGAAAGGAGGAGAGTGGTGAGAGGGAGGAAAGGAGGAGAGGGGTGAGAGGGAGGAAAGGAGGGGAGGGGTGAGAGGAAAGAAAGGAAGAGAGTGGTGAGAGGAAGGAAAGGAGAAGAGCGACGAGAGGAAGGAAACGAGGTGAGAGACGAGATGAAGGAAACGAGGTGAGAGACGAGAAGAAGGAAACGAGGGGAGAGACGAGAAGAAGGAAACGAGGTGAGAGACGAGAAGAAGGAAACGAGGTGAGAGACGAGAAGAAGGAAACGCGGGGAGAGAGGAAGGAAAGGAGGTGAGAGACGAGATGAAGGAAAGGAGGTGAGAGACGAGATGAAGGAAAGGAGGTGAGAGACGAGAAGAAGGAAACGCGGGGAGAGAGGAAGGAAACGCGGGGAGAGAGGAAGGAAACGCGTGGAGCAACGAGAGGAAGGAAAGGAGGGGAGGGACAGCAGGAAGGAAACAAGGGGAAGGATGAGAGGAAGGACGGGAGCAGAGACATCATCAGGACCTGTATTTATATAAAGCATCACAGAGGAATCTCCGTTAAACGTTTCAGTCCTGTTAAAATATTGTGTTAATTCCAGTTGGCATCAGGCTGTAGGTGAACACTGACAATCCTATCATGTATAGACTCAAACAGAGGCTGCAAGGATTTTAACTATAAACTGAACTGAATACATAATTGTGAGATTTAACAACTTCTGAAAACTTGTTGTGTTGTTCTTCTATTCCATATTGATATATTTCTACATTTATTTATGTCGACTGTAGGTTTATCTGCGTGTAGCACCTTATCACCGCAGCAACTTCCTCGTATGTGTAAAACACTGCTTGGCAATAAAGAGCCTTCTGATTCTGATTGACTTTTAAACAACTGAAGTTAAAGCCAATTTCAAAAACTTGATTTGAGTTCACTTAAAAATTAAAATGCCCAATATATAAAAACATATTCAAGACGCTGAGTTTCAATTAGTCTTTTCAGATCAATAAGATGAAAGTCAAGTCTCAAAATCAAGAACCAAATTTGTGGCACATGGAGGATTTCCGGTCAGTTAGGACCGACTTCCTCCTCGGAGACGCCTGATGGATCCAGGTCCTGGTTCAGTATCTGGAGTCTGTGGTTTGAAAGCACTCACCATGTTGCTCTTCTTGTCTGTCTGCCTCTTTATCCTTCTGTCCTCTCTTCTTCTGTCTTTTTTCAGGGCGGTCTCCACTTCCTCCCTGAGACCCCGCTCCCCCTGCCACCCTCCTTTATCCCCCCTCGGCAGCGGCTGTCCGGTCTGCTGGAGATACTCCAGGAAGCCGTTCACATCCTCACTGACGTAGTCCTTCTTCTTATTGTTTGGTTTGTTTACTGCTGATCCACCAGGCTGAGTCCCTCTCAGGTAGTCCCTCTGAGGTCCTGGGTGAGCACCAGATCGGCCCGGGTGTCCTCCTCCTCCTCCTCTGCCTCTGCCTCCTGCTGCTCCTCCTCTCAGCCGGCTCCATGGAGTGGCCTCTGCTGGCTTGTGTTTGTGGACGTTGTTGGCTCTCGCCCACCTCGTCATGACTGCACCCGCTGGCTGAAGCCAAAGAAAGAAAAAGTCTATTTCTTTAATTTGACGATATCGTTCTTTTTACTCGTCTACTTTTATTTGACAACTTTGGTTCCTTTTGCAAATTCAGATTTTTCACTCAAACTCTAACCCACAAATAAATGTTGATGCATTACATCCTTTTTCAGCTGAACATTAAAGTGATGAACACATGAATCCATCAATATTTCTAATCCAATAATATAAATACACATTATTCTGTAATTGGCCTCTGGTCAGTATATTCTGATGGTTATACTACTAGACGACACTGAAGTTAGCTTCCGATTCAGCAGTTTTAAAGAAACTTGCACCTCTCTGGGACCATCCAGTCCAGATCTGACAGCTCTAGGTACTGTGGTTTTTGATCTGGACCTGACTTTTCCTTAACCCTCCCCTGAAGTGCATTGTTACTTCTAGTAAGATTTAAAATGCAGGACTTTTACTTGTGTATGACTTTTACTGAAGTAACAGATCTGAGTGCTTCACTGAGTCCCAGTTAGCTTAAACAACAAAAACAAAACAAATGTTTTTGCTAAATTTGGTGTCAAACGTTACTGAAATTATCTGGCGTTGTTAAATCTGACTGCCATGTAAAACATCGTTAGGAGAGAAATTATTTTAAAGACAAAACAAACTAAAATAGCTCTTTCTGATGTGTTTCTGTTTTCTACTGTTAGCATGTGAGCTAGCAGCTAAATCACAGCGTCACCTTCAGTTTTTTACGTAAAACAGCAGCTTCACAGCTGGTGAGGCCGCACAAAACAACACGGTGGTAAGTGCTAAAAAATCAACATATCATACAGAATAGATCGTTTAAAAAAATCTAAAGTACCCTGAGAGATTTTCAGCCCATGTGTTTACTTTCCTCCCGGAAGTGATCGTTCGTCTTCGTCTTCTTCTTCTGTTTATTTAGCGGCGGTTGTTAACGAGGCGCATTACCGCCACCTGCTGCTTCGGAGTGAGCACCAGAGATAAATCCTCTTTATCTGAGTTAATCAAATAAATAAAATAAAATGCTACTTCCTCATCCTCTTGACAGGCTCGTTGGTGTTTTTATATTAAGATCCTGAATTCCAGCTTTCCTGATATGTTGGTCCACATGTTGTCATCAGTAGAGGAGGAAGTACTGAGATCATTTACTTAAGTAAAAGTACTATTACTACCAGTGGTGGACAGTAACTAGGAACATTTACTCAAGTACTGTACTGTACTGTACTGTACAAATTAGACGTATTTGTTCTTTACTTGAGTATTTTCTTTTCATGCCACTTTCTATACTACATCTCAGAGGGAAATATTGTACTAATTACTAGTTACTTTACAAAGTAAGAGTTTTACACACAAAACTGTTACTACCCAACAGGTTTTACAGCTGTATAGTATAAGTGTACAAGTACAGCTGAAATGATTTGTTGATTGACAGAAATTTGATTGGAAACCGTTTTGACAATCGTTTTTAAATTCTGAAAAACAGAAACCAAACTAATTGTATTTTGTACTTTGACTACTTTTAGTGGAATAATATTAAGCAAGGGAATCTGTAATTTTACTCAAGTACAGTATTTGTGTACTTCATCCACCACTGACAAATACCAGCACTGAAAATATTACTTATGTAAAAGTATATAATTATAATCAGGAAAACATATTTAAAATTATTACAAGTAAAAGTAATCATCATGCAGAAGTGCTTTCTATTATATTAATTTATTAGTATTGCAGAAACATGAAGATGTAAGAAGCATTTTAATGATGTAGCTGGCTAAGAGCTAATTCTGTTCTGTATGTACTGTTGGTTATTTAAATCTGTATTATATACATATTTTATCTACTTTGTATAAAAAAAATCTTAATCTGCAAAAGTAACTACAGCTGTGAAACAAACATAGTGGAGTAAAAAGTAGAAAATCTCCTTCTGAAATGTAGTAAGTGCTCGCAGGTGATTTTACTTAATGTGACTAACGAGGAGCATCAGCTGTCCCTCCTGAGACCATGCTGCAGCTGCTCCTGACTGTCCTTCTGTTTGTTGAATCGCCTAAAGATGGTAATATATCAACACTGTTTGGTATCACAGTTTGATTTTGACTGTCTGGGAAAGCAAACATATGATTTTTCTTTAATCTGTTGTGTTTTAGTGGACTCTGGTCCTGTACCTGAAGCCCAAACAGGTACAGCCTGACGTATTTTAAGCCAGGGTTTGAACAAAATGTCGACACTCACATTATTTGTTTCTTTAACGTACAAACGTGTGTTTTTACAGCTCTTCGGGAAGACCTGTTGAGTAAGGTGTTGCATTATATAAATTCAAACCCAGAGACTGTAGAAGGTGAGCCAACGCTGTCAGTATGAACATGCATTTAATATTTGAGAAGAAAAAAGTTGAGCAAAGAAGGAAAGTCTGGATTAATACCGTTGCTGTTTCTTTTCTTCTATCACATTTTTGACAGAACTGGCATCAGAGAACGATGGCGTGTTGGGGGGAGACATGATGTCAGTGAGTGAAACTGCCTCTATGTTTCCACTTATTTTTATTGATTATTTGTTGTTTTTATTGTTGCACAAAGTTTAGGGACAGAACCGCCATTAAGAACGATCACAACTGAAGCAGCAAGTAAGATCTGGGTTGGCTCCAAAAACACAGTATCCTGACATTTCCCATCATGCCACTTCATAAAATCAAGTTGTTTTTTTTTTGAGAAATCAACTTAATTCCTTAAGACCAGCAGTTCATGATGCAGTTCATTTGACACCAATGTGAAACTGCAACTTGAAAGAAGGAAAGAAATCTGTGTGATGTGACTCGGCACTCGTCATTTTCAGAGAAAACGCTCTTAAAAGATGCTGTACATGACCTGCAGCAAATGGCAGACAAACACAGTTACAGAGCGGCTGGTGAACATAGTGGAGCATTTAGCAGCTAAAGAGCCAGATATTTCCCTCAGGAGCTGGTGGAGACCAAACACAGAGCTAACAGAGAGAGAATACTGGACTCACAGCACTCAACAGGAATGATCTGTAATGCTGGATGTATAAATAGCCTAAGGAACTGTTTCCTATAGTTCTCGACTGCCAATTCAATTAGTTATCCACTGATTCATCATTGCACTCCTGTAACGCTGTCAGACGCAGACTAATAAGACACTAAAGGCTTTAAACCACTATATTCACAAAGCCAGTATTTCTCCATAACACCTGCAAACACACGCTGATGTGTAAAGGTCCCTGATAACACAAAACAGCAGCATTTAATAGAGCAGATGATTCATGCTGCAGTCTCTGGGACCAGATGTAACAGATAAAATAAACATAATTGGAAATGAAGCTCAATTAGAAAATCATTTAGTATAAAGGATAAATTAGAGACTGCACTTCAAGTGATTTAAAAGAACCGAACTTTGAACTGAAGTTGTTTTATTTACAGAACCATATCCTAAAAACACTGAACATCAAAGAGGATGCAAAAAAAGGGCCGTTCTCCTGATAGTAAAGATGGAAACAAAACATTTATTCAATTTAAAGGTTTTGTCACATTTTCTGTTTCATGTTGCTTTTTTTTTTACTTTTCAATGCAATACTCAGGTGTTTATCAGTGTTTGGCACGGAGGTGCAGTGGTTAACACTGTCTTTTACACCTTGGTCGTTTGCATGTTCTCCCCAGTCTGCGGAAGTTCTCTCCGGGTGCACCTTAAATGAACCTGCAGTGTTCTAGTGATACTGTTTCTTTGTGCGGCCAACACATAAGATGAGGGATAAGATCAGCCTTGTCTCACAGGAGAGCAATTTCAACATTACAGCAGCAAGTGGATAGGAATAAATTAAAGTGATGACATCAAACGTAATACTAACAATATAAAAAAAAAATCACACTATACTAAAATGAAAACTATATTTTTTTTCAACTATAGAACAAACTACCAAAAATGAAATTGGTGCAAGTGTTGATTTGCATATCTGCGTGCTTATCGACTTTAAAACGGATAACAACAAATTCCAGTATTTAATAACTTGCACTTGAGGTTTGTTTCGCCCTGCAGAACAGCAGCGCAGTGGGAACCGTGTGGCCAACTCAGGAGATACCGTACGTCATCAGCCCAGCGTTGGGTAAGTCAGTCTGACTTCACATCACTGGTCCGAGTCTTTGCTCACAGGAATCTTTTTTTATTTGTGTATTTTCAGCCAGTCGGAGGAAACACATCCTCTCTGCTATGAAGATGGTGTCTAAAGACACCTGCGTGTCCTTCCACAAGCGAACCTCTGAGACAAACTACCTGCTCTTCACAACCAGCAACGGGTATGAAACCTATAATAATGCACAAAGATTATTTTCATTAGGCCTACATACTAATCTGAATGTGCAACTATCAAACAAATGCTGTGACGTTATAAGTACCTCAAAATTGTACTGTGGGTTTTGGACCATTGGTGTGACATTACAAGTGGTGGAAATTAACTTCTCATAAGAGAGAGAAGCAAATTCTCACTACTGAGAAGCTGGGAGTGTTTGGTGTTTTTAGTTTAAAAATAAATTAGATTTCTGTCAATCAACACATTGTTTCTGCTTTAAATGAATGTCTCGAATGTTTACATGAAACTATCGGAGTGTGCATCTACTAGTTATGCAACTATTAATCTAGTTGTGCGTCGTCCGTGGGCTTCTTGGGCGGAGAGCAGCCAGTGTACGTCGGGCCCACGTGCCTCGTGGGTAACATCGTCCATGAGATTCTTCACGCTCTGGGCATCCAACATGAACACACGAGGACAGACCGTGATCAGTACATTGCAGTTCTTCCCCATAATATCATGCCAGGTAATGTTTCCAAGCTCATTTGGTTATATAACATTGCATCTCCATTTGGAAAATGCAGAATTTAGGAATGCAGATTCAGTTTCCCGATTTGGGACAGGATGAACGTTACAGGTTCACAGAACTCATCACCCTGGTGAAATGACAGGATGCGGTCTGTAAAACACAGCAGGACAAAGCCAAAAAAAAGAGACTAAAGCCTCCACATGGGGGGCCCTGAGAGCTGAGGGGGAGGCAAAGGTGCAGTCTGAGAATAATTTGAGTCCAAAAAAAAATCGCACTCCTTCTCAGTCATAACTAAGTCAAATCTGAACTCCGACATGATACACATGTTGTATCCTTCAGTGTGACATTCACTTTCCGAGGACAACGACATCTCTATCTCCATCCAGAATAAAACCTCCTAAATCCAGTCAGAAATCAGAGAGGGAAAATGCTGCAGAACTTCCCTGAGAATCATGTTTTTAAGTGATGGTTGTCTGTACATCCCTGGGTGGCACTGCAAACAGGAGGTGCTAATTTGGCAAAATTTAATGGTGCCAATTTGCCTAAATGTAAACAAATAAAGGGTCTCAAGACAGAATACCTGCAACTTTTTTTTATAATCCAGTCTGAATGGGACTGAAGTTTAACTGCTGGATACAAGATTCAGTTTTATGCATATAGCACCACTTCATAACAGAAGGGCTCTCTTGTAGGAGCAGGTCTAGACTGAAAAGTTAATTCTCAGTGTTTGTGAGTTCCTGCATCACACTTGCAAGTTTCATATCGGACCTTGATTGGCTTCAGTGTAGCTGTGATATCACAAATCCTGCAGGTGTGTTCAGGTGTCAAACTGAGAGACTTTCCTCCGTCAGCAGATGGATGTACAAACCTCATTCTGCAGCGTGAAGCAACAAGAAGAAACATGTTTTTAAATGCAGGTTTACTGTTTTTATGAGGCTGTTTGCTCTGAGTGAGAATAACAAGGTGTGTTTCAGGGATGGAGAAAAACTTTAAAAAACAAGAAGGCGAAACCTTCGATCTTCCTTATGACGTTACATCTATCATGCACTATGGAAGGTAAATTTCCAAATGCATAAGCATGTACATGTTTACCCCCTCTGTAAAGGTTATTTTGTGACTCTGTGATTGTTTATTTGTTTCAGTGTTTTTTTTTCATCAAACGGCCGGCCCACCATTGTCCCCAAAAATAATGTGAAGGACATGGGACAGAGGGTTAAAATGACAAAGATGGACATTGAGAAAGTTCGCCGTCTCTACAACTGTGGTATCTGTGTTTTTCCTGACTTCTGGCCACTTGGTTTGGTTTGGTTAGATTTTAAAGGGAAACAACTGAAACCATATTATAAATATATAATGAAAATGTACTAAATGTATACAAGATGATGACAAATAAACATGAAACAGAACATTTAAAAACACTGATACAATAAAATAGTGTTCCTGCCAATATACAAGTCATAAATATGACTCGTGAAGTTGGATTTTTGGACGAAAAGTCTCACATCTGCTGAAGTACCTCGTTCACTGTGACCAAAGCCACATAGTGCCTGACTCGCCTTTCTCATCCCTCCTCTCTTTCAGATGCAGAGACGCAGCAGGAAAGCAGTGGCGATGGGATGGAGGTTAGAAACATGCACGTAGTGGCCCCAAACAATCCTGTTTCTGCCAACAAACCAGAGAAAAATCAAACATCTACTGTCTCTCCGTCCACTTCGCTGCAGCACCTGACTGCTGCCACGAGAGGGAACAGTAGCACCAGCAGAGGACACGACTAGACTGAGCTGGGACTTTGTACCAATAAAACCAAAATATTCATCCCAGATTTGTCTTTGCTGACATGTTTCACAAGACATCAGGCAGCTGAAACAAACTCATTTATCTGTTAATGTCCCTCATTATTAAAAAAGAAACCAGTACCTTCCAAGTGCTGGGACACCTGACACCAATATAAAGAGTGGTAACAATAGCTAACCTACTGTTTGCCATATCAATCAGTGCAATGTCTAGAAATTATTTTAATCACAATATTAGTTGATTAGATTCGGTGTAGTTGATTTTGTGATTAACTTTTCTCTCTAAAAGAGAAAAGGTGTCCGTTTCACATCATCTCTCTCTGCCGTGCATTACAACACAATTATCATCACAAAGCTGTATTTAGAAGATATTGGATGAATCCCATCACAGACTCAAGAAATCCCCCATTAAGCTCACATCACAGTAACTTATCTGCGTCAGACAAATCATCGTCTCTATGTTTGTGTTTGTAATTCTGGCGCGTTTCCACCAAATGATTTCCTTAATTACCATCCACAGGGGGGGCCGCTGTAATTAAAAGACTATTAAAGCCTGATTGCAATGCAGCTCCTTTTTGCTTTGATTTATGTTTTAGCCTTAAATAACTAAAACAATGCTAGTATTTGACTGAATATCTGATCTAATGCCATGGAAATGTATGCATATCAGCTTCTGGGGCTTCTCTGTGGGCGGCTACATGCAGGAGACGCACAGGATTCATGTTCTGGCAGCTTCTGGTGATTGACTGATTTGTGTGACACAGTTGCTCAACAAATGGGACTTTCTCTCTGTGTGTGTGTGTGTGTGTCGTCAAATGTGACAATCTGTATAACATTCACAATTCAGCAGCTCATTTTCTCACATAAACATTTCTCGTTGCTTTCAGACAGAATTTACATGTATAAATATCTTGAAATGACCCAGTGATGGACAATGAAGTCTTGGTGACAAAGACAGATTACACTGCTGTCATGCTTGATGCTCGATCTGTGAAGCCTGAAACATTTAAACATGTAATACGAATTTAGTAGAAGTCCAAAGGTAGGTTTTGTGCTGTTGTTTTTCCTGTGTTTATTTGATATTGTCATGGTTTGGCATTTTGTAGTCTAGTTTATTATTTAGGCTCATTTGCTTTACGTTTTCTTTGTAACTGTCTTATCTCTCATCTTAGTTCTTGGTCCTGTGCTTTAGTTCATGTTTAGTGTTTTCCTTATCGGTGTACTTCTGTATTTTCTCATTATGGTCTGTCTTAGTCCTTAGTCTTCATGTTTTAGGGTAGTCTTGTCTCCTGTTTGGTCCCGTTTCTGTCTGTGTCCTGATTTTGCTGTCTTTCCATGTTTTTGCATTTTACTTCGGTAGATCTGTCCTTGTGTGTTCCTGTGAACATTACTTCCTGTTAATTTGGTAAACTTCTGTACCTGGTGTCCTTGTTTAGCTTTGTCTGATTACCTGATGTATCTCAGCTGTGCTTCCCACCCTGCTCGTTTACCTGTGTATATATTGTCCCCAGTCTTTTTCACGTCCTTGTATTGTCTGTATTGTCCGCATTATCTGCGTCGTCTGTGTTGAGTGTTCTGTGCCTTCCCTGCCCTTTTGGATTACTTCATTGGTTTGTATTTTGTTCACGGATTCTTCCCTTTGGATTATGTTTTATGTTCCCTTTGTTTGCACATTTGCCGCTGAGCTCCCAGCGTAAGCCTGTTTAGTTTTGTGTTAATAAATCCTTATTCGAACTGCAACTACATCGCCTACAGTCTGCATTTGGGTCCACATCTCAGCTCTCTGCTTCTGCACTCAGCCATTCCCCATGACACTGATCCCATTTTTCAGAAACCTGTAAAAGGTGACTCTTTAAAATTGCTGTTGCATTTAGTTCAGCTTCTCCAACAGTTACACCACAGCAGTTTTTACATAGTTTCCACTTTTACTTTGTTTTTCTCAGTTGCTGTCTTTTTACATTATTACTGCAAGCTGCTCACTATATATGCAGGTTCGAAGGTCAACACTTAACAGGGATAAAAAAAAAAAAAGATAAATATCATGAACTTTCATTTACTTTTGACTCACAAAGCTAATGTTCTGAGTGCCTTTGTGCCTTCCATCCATCTTTCCATCATCAACCGCTTATCCTGCGTCAGGGTCGCGGGTGGCTGGAGCCAATCCCAGCTGGCATTGGGTGAAAAGCAGGGGTACACCCTGGACAGGTCACCAGTCCATCGCAGGGCGCCTTTGTGCCTTTTGCAGGACAAATGGACACAGAGTCCTAAATCCAGTCAGATTCTAAGCAGGTTATTTAGTATAAAGCACGTTCACGCCGGAAAAGTGACTGAATTAAGTTTGCAGAAATCAATAAATACGACCGGTTTTTGAGGGTGCACTATTCTCCCACACTGCAATGCACAAAGGAAAGGGAGGGGAAAAAACAATGAAATGTGTTGGTGGTGGTGAAAAGGCTCCAGAAAGATCTCAGAAAACCAAATTAGAGGAGGTTAGATCTTAAAGATCTATAAAAGGTTAACATCAAGGGCAACTTGTCGAGGCTGAAGATGTTTCGCCTCTCATCCAAGAGGCTTCTTCAGTTCCCCCACCTTCCCTGGATAACTGTGGCGTGGATGATTGAGAACCTTCACAGACAACATATGCAGTATGGATTTGTGACAGTAGATACTGGTGGTGATTTCTCTGTTTCAGAAAATGTGTTGAAGTATGAAAAAGTTCAGCACATCTGAGCTGTTTTACAGCTGAGATACTCACAAAGTATCTGAGGTTTCAGGTGAAGCGTACACTGTTTAACATAGCATGGTCAGCTTATCTCCTAACACCTGGGAGACTCATTTCCAGAGAACTCACTGTTGAACGCTGACTTCAGACACTGAACATCACCTTCATGTGCACCGAGTCAGGTTTAACATCCACCGTGTTTGTTTCTGACTCTGAAGAACTTAACTGGCAGGAAAGGTTTCAAGATGCTGCTTTTCCTGTAATCTCAGCGGACTGACAAATATTTATCTCTCCGGCTCAGTTCATCGTCACGCAGGTCGGCTGGCGGAAAATTGCTCTGACATTTACGCTTGACATATAGCATCAAACACTGAAGCTAAGACAACAGGAGTGTCCATTACTGCGAATACAAGCTGACAGAATGAGGACAAAACCTTTAAAACACAAAGTGTAGTTTTAACCTGCTGCTTTAGTAGGTTTCTGTCTTTTAAATTTCACTCTTCAGCTCCATTTTTTACATTTCTGCTGTTTCACTGATAGAGGCCAGCGGTACAAACACAGCAAAGACTAGAGACTGATATTTTATTCATAATGCTGACAATAAATAAATAAATTGACAATCAAAATAAGTAAATATGAAATATCTTAAGACATTAAATACATAAACATAAACAACTGCTAAATTAATTAAGGAGGAAAAAAGAGGGGTCTTGTTACAGACTACATGATTGATGCATTTGGACTGTTGGACATTTGAAGACGTCATGCTGGACTCTGGGAAACTGAGATGGACATTTTCACAATTGTTTTAACCTTTCAAACCTCTCAAATGATTGATTGATAAATTGAGAAATTAAGATGACATAGATTTAGTTGTCCCAAAGGAAAATTGTCTTGGACACATACTGCTGTTAAAATATAAACAGTGCACACACACACAATACTCTCAGTATATGCAGAGATTGCAATCAACCAAAAAATTGCACACTGCACATTTTGCAACAAGTTAATCAGCAAATAAATCGATAATAATAAAAGTAAGTATTGGGTGCAGCCTCAGCGAGGAATGATCTGGCTTATCAGAGCTTTTGCAACTGCTGCTGCGTCCTGTTTAGATGTTGATAACCGCTGATGAGGGTCAGTTAAAACACTATACATTGAGAGATTAATGTCTGTTTTGCTGCAGTCTTTGCTGCAAGGTCAGCTCTGGCATTCCCCTGTGAGATAGGATCAAGGTCGGAGTCAGCTTTAAATCGACAAAAAACTTTTTCAGGCCTTTTTCATGCCCATGGTGCTGAACACTGCACGCCAAAGTGACCCAAATCTTTTATTGTTTTTTTTTTTTTTTGCTCATGTGACTCCGATCTGATTTTGAACAGTTTAATCAGCCCAAGTCAAATCGAATCTTTTCCAGTGCGTATTTGGTCCTCTTTCATATGTGGTCCAAATCAGCGACTTCCGCCTGGACATTCAGATCTGAATTCATGCAACTCTGACGTCACTCTAGAGGAACCGTCTTCACAATACTCAGTCATGGTGGGGTGTTGATGGTGGATAAGACACATGCCTTAGGTGTGAGAGACCTGGGTTCAGTTCCCACTGGGACATATCCATAAATGTGTCCCTGAACAAGACATTTAAGTTGCTCCAGAGGCGTGCGACCTGTGATCATCATATATAGCGAGTGTAAATGTCACATGCATGCTGCTTGTCCTGGTGGACACAGTAGAGAGACTGCACTGTAATGAAAAGGACAGAAACATTTGTCATATTTTGGTAGAAATGTGATCCAGTGAAAATTGTACCTGTATGACATCGTATTATTCTTTCCGCATGTCGACCTCTTTCAGACCATGGCCACATTAGGTCATGATTTTAAAAAAAAATGTGAACAGTCAATCAAAAAAATCTGAACAATTAATCACAACTGAGCATTAAGGCCTGCGGTGTGAACATAGCCAAAGTGGCCCAAATCATAACGTCTGATTTGGGTCCCTTTGGCCTGCAGTCTGACCGCAGCATCAGTTACAGTGGGGGAAATAAGTATTTGACCCCTTGCTGATTTTGCAGGTTTGCCCACTTACAAAGAATGCAACGATCTATAATTTTAATCATATGTACATTCTAACAGTGAAAGACAGAATCCCAAAGAAAATTCCAGAAAATCACATCATATGAATTTATTAAAATTGATAACCATCTGATGAGGAAAAACAAGTATTTGACCCCCTGGACAAACAGCATGTTAATATTTTGTAGAAAAGCCATTATTGGCCAGCACAGATGTCAAATGGTTTTTATAGTTGGTGACAAGGTTTGTGCACATTTCGGCAGGGATGTTGGCCCACTCCTCCCTGCAGACAGCCTCCAAATCATTCAGGTTCCGAGGTTGTCGCCTGGCAACTCAAATTTTAAGCTCCCTCCAAAGATTTTCAATTGGATTCAGGTCTGGAGACTGTCTAGGCCACTCCAGAACCTTGATGTGCTTCTTCTTCAGCCACTCTTTTGTTGCTTTGGCGGTGTGCTTAGGGTCGTTGTCGTGCTGAAACACCCATCCTCGACCCATCTTCAGCTCTCTCACTGAGGGAAGGAGATGTTGGTCCAGAATTCCACGATACATGGCCCCGTCCATCCTCCCCTCAATACGATGGAGTTGTCCCGTCCCCTTGGCTGAAAAGCACCCCCAAAGCATGATGTTGCCACCACCATGCTTGACGGTGGGGATGGTGTTCTTTGGGTTGTACTCTGTGTTCTTTGCCCTCCAAACACGACGAGTTGCGTTGAGGCCAAAAAGTTCTATTTTGGTCTCATCTGACCACATCACCTTCTTCCAGGCCTCTTCTGAGTCGTCCAGGTGGTGAATGGCGAACTTCATGCGGGCCTGTACATGTTTCTTCTTGAGCAGGGGGACCTTGCGTGCGGTGCAGGATTTCAATCCATGACGGCGTAGTGTGTTACCAACCGTTTCTTTTGTAACTGTGGTCCCAGCTGCCTTCAGTTGATTCATCAGTTCCCCCCTTGTGGTTTTGGGATGATTCCTCACCGTTCGCATGATCAGGGACACCCCACGAGGCGAGATCTTGTGTGGAGGCCCAGACTGAGGGAGGTTGGCGGTGGTGTGGTGCTTCTTCCATTTCCTGATAACTGCACCGACAGTTGGTCTTTTCTCTCCAAGTTGCTTTCCGATTCTCTTGTAGCCCATCCCAGCCTTGTGCAGATCAACAATCTTGTCCCTGATGTCCGTAGAAAGCTCTTTGGTCTTGCCCATGGTGGTGATGTTGGATGCTGGTTGTTTGGGTGTTGACAGGTGTCTTTTATACAGGTAACGAGGTGAGGCAGGTATATTTGATGTAGATAATTGGTTGGGATTGGGGCTGTGTCTTAAAGAAAGACTAACTGGCTTGTAGGAGCCAGAATACTTGCTGTTTGGTAGGGGGTCATATACTTGTTTTTCCTCATCAGATGGTTATCAATTTTTATAAATTCATATGATGTGATTTTCTGGAATTTTCTTTGGGATTCTGTCTTTCACTGTTAGAATGTACATATGATTAAAATTGTAGATCGTTGCATTCTTTGTAAGTGGGCAAACCTGCAAAATCAGCAAGGGGTCAAATACTTATTTCCCCCACTGTATTGTCCACCACTGGTTAATAAAAATAAAGTTTTGGACTGTTGGTCAGAAAAAATAGACATCTGAAGACCCCTGTGGGAAACTGGGATGGAGATTTTTCCTCTATTTTCTGCTTTTGAGTCTCCAAAAGTAGACTAGGAGCCAGAGCGTTCAGCTATCAAGCTCCTCTCCTGTGGAACCAGGTTCCAGTTTGGGTTCAGGAGGCAGACACCATCTCCACATTTAAGAGTAGGCTTAAGACTTTCCTCTTTGATAAAGCTTATAGTTAGGGCTGGCTCAGGTGAGTCCTGAACCATCCCTTAGTTATGCTGCTATAGGCCTAGACTGCCGGGGGATTTCCCATGATGCACTGAGCTCCTCTCTCCTCTACTTTCTCTCCCTCTGTATGCAAACTCATCCCATTATTGCATGTTACTAACACAACTTCTCCCCTTTCCGGTAGTCTTGTGCTTTCTCGTCCCTCTCCTCTCTCCTCCTATCACTTCCTGCAGGTGTTTCTGGCTCTGGAGCTGTGGAGTCTGGATCTGTGGTTGCGGGTCACCTGCTGCCCCCGTGTTCCTGCTTGACACCCTCTGCTGCAACGACTATTGTTACTAGTCCTATTGTTATTATTGTTATTATAATCATTAACATTACGATGGTTATCATTAACACTATTATAGATATCTGTACCATTATTCATTTAGTCTATAGCAACATCACCTTTACTGTCTGTACCTCTGTGTGTATATTGTGTAGGCTGCCTCCCTCCCCTCTCTCTCTCCTTCCATCCCTCTCTCTCTCTCTGTTCCTCTCTCTCTTTCTCTCTCTCTCTCTCTCCCTCTCTCTCACTCTCTTACCCCCAACCGGTCGAGGCAGATGGCCGCCCACCCTGAGCCATGGTTCTGCTTGAGGTTTCTGCCTCTGTTTTTCCTTGCCTCTGTCTCCTAGTGCTTGCTCTTTTTTTGTTTGTTGGGCTTCTGTAAATAACATCACAGAGTACGGTCTAGACCTGCTCTTTATGAAAAGCGCTCTGAGATAACTGTTGTTGTTATTTGGCACCATATAAATAAAACTGAATTGAAATTTGGACCCAAACAAATCATCAGATGAATTATGGGTTGTAATGATGGTTTGTCAACCTTATTCTATATTTTGAATTTTACACACATACAGCATCTTCTTATGTTGATTTTAGAGCTGAAACAAAATGAATCTAACTATTTTGTTAAATGATTAATGACTCCCAAACATTTCCAAGATTTTTACTTGTTGTTTCAGGATTTGCTAATTGTCTTGCTCTTCTGTGATTTGTGAATTGGTCATTTAGCTGACGCTTTTATCCAAAGCGACTTACAATTGCTATATGTGTCAGAGGTCACACGCCCCTGGGACAATTAGGAGTTAAGTGTCTTGCTCAGGGATTGGTGAATGTCACGGTCGGGTCTCCCACATCAAAGGCATGTTTCTTATCCACTGTTCCATCACCACCCCGGCATTTTAACAGTGGTGGGAGAAGTATTCAGTACTGCAGCTCTCTACCTGAAGATCTGAAGCTGGAGAATCAGCATGTCTTTTAAATCACATCTCAAATCTATTTTCTTAAATCCTGTCTAATCTGTTTTAATGTTGTTGTTTTTTATCTTAATAATATTATTATTATATTATATAATAATTGTTGGGTATCTTTTTTCCATTTTATTTCACATGTCTGATTTTATTTGCCTCATTGTGAAGCGTTTTAATCCTGGTTAGGTTAGGACATCCTCCACACCAAACCCACCCAGCTCACTGTACCAGCCTCCACCTGTCAGAGGATCACAAACTTCCTGACTGACAGGAGTCAGCAGGTGAGGCTGGGGACTGGGGAATTCAGTGCTGTTCACTGTTCATATTGTATATTTCATATGTACCTACCTCACGTACATAACACCTGCACATAATACTTATTTACTCAAGCATCCTCTGCTCTGTCACACTGTGTGTGTATATGTACACATATATGTGTGTGTGTGTGTGTGTGTGTGTGTGTGTGTGTGTGCATATGTATATCACATCCACCTTCCACATAATAACACTACTTCTACTAATAATAATAATAATAATAATTTTCTCCAGCATTCTTTGCACTCGGCTCATTGCACTAATGTCTTGATTTGTCTGCATGGTCGTTGCTTTGGTTCATGGTGTGTATATATGTGTGTACTGCATACTGAATACTGTAGTCTGGACATAGTGAGCAATGCATGAACCAGAGTCAAAGTCCTCGTATGTGTACACAAATATAGTTTATTCTTATTCTAAACCAGTATATTGTAACTTTGTTCTGTGCTGTAAAAACAGTTTTTAACTCTATAAAAAGTTTATTATTGTTAAGTAAAGGTATTTCAAATTGTTCGTAAGTGAAAGTGCAGATGTTGTAGAAGTATTATTTTTGTCCCCACAAACAATTAGTTCACATGAAAAAGGATAGATGACTTTCATGACTGACTTTAATATCTTAATGATTACTTTTGAGGCTTATATTTTGGATCTTGTGTTCCTTATGAGCATCTGTGTATAGCCTGAGATCTTTCGGGCAGGGGCCTCCGGGTCTCTTCATGAGTCCAGGCTGAAATCTAAAGGGGACAGAACTTTTGCTGTCAGGGCCCCTGGGCTCTGGAACAACTTGCCCGAGGAACCCAAGCTGTCAGTCAGTTTCTTCTTTCAGGTCTCTTCTAAATATGCTCTTTTATATGAAGGGATATCCTGATTTTGTGTGTGTTTCTGAAAATAATGCACTAATGCATAAGTAATCTACTTATTATTATTATTATTAAAGAAAAGTGTGGAGGAAATTCTTGTGATAGGTGAACAAATAAAGAGAATTAGCCTACTCCAATATTGCCCTTATCTTTTATTTATCAAACATGTCATACTTGTTTCTGCAGAAAGGACAGAGCTCCCATCTCACAGAAAAGAAGAAAAACAAGTTCGACTAAAGTTCAGGGGTTACAAAGTGCTTGACCTTTCGCAGTTATCACATGAGCTTCTCCCAGAATAACTGCAAATTCAACTAGACTATCTGGCTGTTTACAGGAATCTGTGGTTAGGCACATCTGTGCACCCGAAGCAAGTTACAAAGACCCGGCATGTCTCACGGTTGAATTACCATAAGACATACTGTAGATAAGGTTTGAACATATGTGATACAGATTAGAACAGACAGGGCGTGAATGATAAACTGACAAAACAAAAGGAGATATTCGCTTGAAAATGACTTAAATCATTAATCAATAGTGAAAAATCAGGTGAATTTCTGCCTTCTTCTTCCCGCGTGATGCTAACAGAGGCGTCTTTCACCTTCTCTGATTCCCAGAGTCTCATCTGCCCACCGCCGGAGTTTTGACAGCTTTTTGGAGTCCGGCTGAAGCTGCGCGTAAAAAGCGCGTCCTCGTTTATCCGGTAACATCCGCATCAGTTCCTGCACATCTCTCTCTGCGAGCAGAGTCTGTCTCCCGCGTCCGGACTGAAAGCACTGACCGGGATACAAAGCTCACCCCTGTACGCGGATATATCAGCTCTTCATTCTTAGCATCCACATTGTTGTGATCGACTCTTTAAGAAAACTTCAGTGTGGATCTTTCCAACATTATCTACACACATCCGATCTGGATCTGCGAGACTGTGTTTCCTCCTCTGTTCCTCCTTCCTGACGCACCGCTTTTTCAAAGCATCCAGAGGGGTATTTGTGCCTCGATTTGTTGGACACCCAGTGTTGCATCACCAGATAGAGAAATTCTGCATATTCGTGCAGTAAAATAAACTTTTAAAGCTTTTGGCACGGAATGACGCACTGAAGCAGCCGAAGTAAAGATCTATTCCCGGTAAGTTCAGATCTGAGATGCGTTAACATTTATTCTGTAGCATGAGAATGTTCTTGTTTTTAATTTACAGTGTTGAGATTAGCACATTCATGTCGACAAAAACAATTAGGGTACTCTCCTCCATGTTTAATGTAAATATTTCCTTCTGCCACATGTTTACTGTCAAAACATTTATTTAAATTGACTAAACAGAAAACGGACTCATTGGTTTAAAGAAAAGCGTTTGTGGACTTAAGGACAAAATGCGCTGTGAGCACAAATAAAGACACACCAACAAAGAGAAAGTGCTGCAGAGATGGATATTAAGGAGAACGACATGCACATTGTAGGCTTCACCTCAATCAGCCTCTGAGAAGGCAATAAAACCTCTAAACTGACAGCTCCAAACAACCAAAATAAGGAAAAATCAACATAAACATTTTAGTTTCTGAAAACATTATAAACATTCCTACATGGACTCTTATGTGACGATTTGTTAACCTTAAGAAAATCTTGACATACTGAATCTATCTCTCTGCTTCCTTCTGCACCATCTCGCCATCACTGGGCTGAATCTGCAAAAAATAACAATAAAAGAAATTTACATGCAGACAGAAGTCAAGTCAGTTTAATTTACTGTATAAAGGCTGATGTAGGATATTTGCCTCAAAGGGCTTTTCAGTCTGTACAGGATGAGACACCATCTATCCTTATGGTATATTGAATAACTTTTGATCATGAGGGTCCATAGATTCTACACCTAAAGGTTTGTGCCGATGAGACTCACTGCCAGGAGTTTGAAAACATTTGGCGATTTTGGGCGCGGCCTATATCACAGATGCAGCTAAATTCATGGAACAGGTGCATATAAGCTTTTTGAATGTGCCATGTACAATGTGGGAATTACAGGCCAAAATGCGTTTTCCTTGACTATAGCGCCACCTACTGGTGGGACGTGTCATTTTGAGCGTCTGAGGTGTGTGCAGCAGTCTTGACCTCCCCTGTGAATTTCACTTTCATAACTCTTATGGTGTAGGCTGCAGATTTACTTTAACTTTTACCAACTGAAGAATGTGTGATTTCACAGCCCGTCCTCATCAGAACAACGGGCGTATAGGTTGATTTGGCAGCAGCTTATTACGACCCATAGGCCTACTTAGGTTTAATGTTAGGCTGCAATCTTTAGTGGCCAGCAAAGGAGGAAGTCTAAGTAGTGACAAAGCTAAAGAAGGAAGTTGTGGACGTGGGAAAATATTAACAAACTCCTTGGTAAAAGTAAGCACACTGCTGATAAAGACCTTGAACTTAAATTTGCTAATGAATTGGTATCAGAGCCTCTCAGCCTTGCAACCAAATTAAATGATTATTTCCAAAGTACCATTGATGAGAACTGTTTTCTAACTCTAGTGGCTCTCAACAAAATATTGGCAACACCGACTCCTATATGGATGCCTTAACTCAAAATTCAAAGTTTATTATTCAAATAATTACAGAAAGTGAAGTAGAAAACATAATCTCTAAATTGAAAAGCTCTAAAGCATGGGATGTGTTTGGATTTCATACCAATCTTCTGAAGCATTATAAATCTTGTATCTTGGTGCCTGTGACCCATTTTATTAATCTATCAATCATGCAGGCATCCCCTTGAGTTGGAAGGTGGCAAATGTCATACCAATATATAAATCGGGTGGTAAATTAGACCCTGCTAATTATCGACCTATTAGCATACTTCCTATCTTCTCAAAGATAGCAGAAAAGTGGGTAGCTAATTCTATTATTGCGCATCTGAATGATTCCAATCCGGGTTTACACCCTATGCAATTCGATCTCTCCACTCAACTGAAACGGCTGTCTGCGTTTTTGTTGAGTAGGTGAAGTCTTATTTAGACAAAAACAGTTATGTTGCGGTTTGATACTGTGAATCACCTTAAGCTCTTGTCTAGACTGTAAGTCACCCTATCTTCACTATACACAGGGTGTCCCTCAGGGATCGATTCTAGGTCCCCTGTTATTTCCACTTTATGTGAATAATTTGCCCAATGTGTGCAAAAATGTGGACACGATTATGTATGCAGACGATACAGTAATTTTTACACAAGCCAAAAGTACTGATGATGCAGCCCATCAGCTTTCATTGGCTTTAAATGACTTGGCTGAATGATTCATGCCTGTGCCTTAATGTTAAAAAGACCGTATCAATGTTTTTTAGTAAACCTAAAACAACCGTGGCCGCTGTAAAAGTTCACTTGGGTGGACAAGATTTAATTAATGTTGAGGAATTTAAGTATTTGGGAGTGCTGATAGACTCGAAGTTATCCTTTAAAAAACACATTTAAAAAGTTGTGAAAACTGTAAATGTTAATATACGGAACTTTAAACAGATTCGTACATCATTGACGGATACAGCAGCGATTACATTCCTGCACTCTATGATACTGGCTCATATTGAGTACTGTATCACAAGTTGGTCCTATATGAGTCATGTTGCTATTGGGCCAATCGAAGTATGCTACAAAAGAGTATTGAAAATATTAGAAAAGAAACCTTGGTCATATCACCATTGTCAAATTTTAGATAAATATAAGTTTTTAAATTTAGCTAATTTCAAATTATTTAAATCAGCCTGTCTAATCTATAAGGTTATACATGGTTTAGCGCCTCCACCACTGAGTGATTTTATTAAACAAAAGTCTAGCAGTGTTGCCGGGACTTGAGTGACTAGAGCCACTATGAGAGATGATTGTGACTTGGCGTTTAGGCGAACTGCCTTTTCACAGAACATTCTGTCATATCAGGGAGTGAGCTTCTGGAATAGTATTCCACTGTCAGTGAGGGGAAGCACAAGTCTTCCTACCTTTAGGAGTCATTTAAAAGTGTGGCTGAGGGACACACAAACTGTGACACACAAATGTGATCATGTTTAGTTAATTATTATATATAAGACGTAAAACAGAGGGGATACAATTTTCAGTGTGATAAGGGTTATGCAATAAGAATCAGTATAACTTGGGTTGTGTAATAGGGTTCAGTGTAATGTGGGTCAGTGCAATATAGGTTGGTGTAATATGGATCAGTGCAATATCAGGTTTGACAGGGCATGTGCAAAATTGTGGTTTGTGTAATGTAGTTGATGCTTTTCAATTTTTTTTATGTACTTTGTTGCCCACTCTTGTTGTTACTGTCTGTTCTGACATGATGTGATCACTGTTTTTGTCCTTGTTTCTCTGTATATAGCCTTTATATAGTGTATTTGTATGTATTTATTTATTTTATTTTTATTTATTATTTTTAATTTGTGTTTAACATCAACCTGTCGGGGGTCTGCAGATGGAAATCTGGCAAATTTACATTTGTGAAAATGTTCATTAATATGTATTGTCCCTTTTTCCAAATAAATAAATAAATAAATAAACTTTCACTCAGGAGACCGAGGTTGACTTTCTTTCGCCCAAGTCCCGGGAGAAAGAAAGTCAAAGTTGGCAAGTTAAATAATGTTTTGTAGATGACTTATGTAATGTACTTATTTGAACCCAAACCAGGATATTTTCCTAAACCTAACTAAGTGGTTTTGTTGCAAAATTAACCAAACCTCCACTGTTTCAAAACCTACTGGTACAGTACCGGTACGCCTGTCGCTGGACTGGTACCTGCCAATGCTCGTGCATGTTGTTTTAGGGAACGGTCATATATGTTGTATTGTGACAACTGACAAACCTAATTTGTCATATGTATGAGGACGTGTTGGATTACAATAGGGTTCCCATCACCACTGTTGTTGGGGTCCAACCTGCCTTGCAAGCATGGCCCCCAGCCCCCACAGGCCTGGGTCCCTAATAACATGGATTATATTCATATCTTGACAACAAAATGTGTATCTCTCTTGTAGATCTCCCTCACGGTGCCAAGATCACATGGCGTCACCTTGACTGACAATCATCGGCCCCTCAGTCTCTCTTACTGGGGAATCCTGTTTCTCAATGGTCCACCAAAGAAACACCCCTTTGCTGTCACGCACTCCGTAAGAGTTCAAAAAGTTTTCCTCCTGTCACCACCATGGCAGCTGCTCCTGATGCACCTTGCCTGTCGGAGCTCGGCGGACTCCTCAACAGGAACATTAGTCTCATCTCTGGCACCCGACCCTGCAACCGGAGCACCGCCAGGACCTCACCTTACACCCCGCAAGCCACGGCAGCCTTCGCCATCGCCATCACCTTCATGATGATCCTGACCATCGTTGGGAACATCCTGGTCATCATCGCCGTACTGACGTCCCGATCCCTCAAGGGGGCTCAGAACCTCTTCCTGGTGTCATTGGCTGCAGCAGATATTTTAGTGGCCACGCTTATCATTCCCTTCTCATTGGCTAATGAGCTGCAGGGCTACTGGGCGTTTAGCTCCATTTGGTGTGAAATCTACCTGGCGCTGGATGTTCTCTTCTGTACCTCCTCCATTGTGCATCTGTGCGCAATAGCACTGGACCGCTACCTGTCCATCTCTCGGCCCGTGTCCTATGGCGCCAAACGTACTCCCATCCGCATCAAGGCGGCCATTATCGTAGTCTGGCTGATCTCTGCAGTCATTTCTTTCCCTCCTCTTCTCACCCTGGATAAGAGCGAAGGAGGTGAAGAGGTGTGTGAACTAAACAGCGAGCGCTGGTATATTCTCTACTCCACCATTGGCTCATTCTTCGCCCCCTGTGTGATAATGATTCTGGTGTATGTGAGGATTTATCAGATTGCTAAGAAGCATACACGCTGCCCGCCCGGACAGAAGCATAAAGCAGAACAAGGAGGAAATGCCAGCATGGCGACCGGTGAGCCTCCGAGGAAATTATCTGAGCAGTTACAACAGAATGGGGATCATGGAAGTACGACTGCCAGCCAAGGAGAAAAAGTCCCGACCAAAATGTCTGGCACTGATTCCACCTCGTCATCACTTCGAAAACCACCTGAGAATACCACCAGCCAGGACACTCAGCACTACCCTCCTAATTCGAGTACCACTCCAGTCCAAAAATCCACCTCCTCCCCCTCAATCCCCCCAGATGACAGCCAAATCCTCTCAGCTGTTCCCCACAAAGAGTCCCAGGCAAATCCTGACGAAGGGGGGGAAGCATTTCCCGACAACACCTCCAGCTCAGGCTCTGACGCCGAGCTGGAAATGGGCGAGGAAGATGTTCTTGCAGAGGACGGCAAAGAAGAGACGAACAAGACTGATGAGCAAACTTTGGGATTGCCCCAGAGCAAAGGGTTCAGAGTTCAGGTTCTAAACTTGGCCTCCAGATACAAAAACACTATGGCCACATCATCTGGCACCCAACTGGTACCAGAGGAAACACATAAGAATCAGGGGACCCCCATATCCCGCCGCAAAGCCATGGTGAACAGGGAGAAGAGGTTCACCTTCGTCTTGGCTGTGGTGATGGGAGTGTTTGTGATCTGCTGGTTTCCCTTCTTCTTGTCTTACTCTCTTAAGGCAGTGTGCCCTGAGACTTGTGCAATCCCCAAACCTTTGTTTAAATTCTTCTTTTGGATTGGCTACTGCAATTCTTGCCTCAACCCAGTCATATACACCATCTTCAACAATGATTTCAGGAAGGCTTTCAAGAGGATACTGTGCAGGGACACAAAGGGTACGTTCTTCTAGGAATGAAAGTATTATTATGTTTTGAACTGCGGGCGGACAGAAACATAATTTGAAGATAAAAAATGATTTCTTTCTTGACCCTCTTCAGCACAGACATAAACACATGTACATTAAGGAGGAAATTGCATCCATTTTCTTTTCTCCTCATTTGTCTGAATGCTGTTAGCTGAGTCAGAGAAGCAGTGACAAAGTGGGAGATTTCAGAAAGCCACAGTCAAGTGGCCAAATCAATTATCTTTAATGTTATTTAAGAATACACTGTAATTGTATATTCAATGACTGTGACGGAGAATGATCGGATTATATTTTGAAACGGAAGTCAAGAGGATACAGGGTCTGTGTTCACTAATTTAAAGTACAAACAGAACTATGATGTTTGATGGTGGATGTGTTTTTGTGTGTGTGTGTATGCATGGGAGTGGAGGAGAGTTGCCTAAGGGTCTTACTGGAAGAGAACAAATATCACTAAGTGTCCTTTATCTGAGATAAAATGGGCACTCAAAGAACACAAGATCAGGAAAAATGTGAGCATCCTCCTCTCTGTGCCTCTTCCTCTCACTCTTTTCCTTCCTCAGTATAGAGCTGTAACTTGGGATGTGTAAATTATGACAGATAGAGCTTTTATACATTTGTGTATGCCTTATTCTCTGTGAACTCATTAAGGTTCTGATAGCCAGAGGCTTAAACAGGAAAAACTAGAGTAAGAGAAGCGAAAATCAGCAGAGGCTGTTTGAAAGATGGGAACTACTTGGAGGCAGCACACGCTGAGCTGTTCACTTCCCCCCTTTAATCTTTTCTCCTCTTTAATGCTATTCTTTTCCTCAGTTAAACTAAAAATGACCCAGGTGGTCAATGCATGTGTTTCAGGAAAGCAGTTGCAGCTGAACGTGTATTGTCATTGCGATTTTGATTTATTTGCAACATTAAATGAACACGATGGACAGTAAGCTTCATATCCTAGTCAGCATGCTCCCTGCCAAAGTAATACAGACTGGATCTGAACTCTGCGCTGACCCCAAAAGACGAGCAGAATCCCTGATGAAGACGCTCCTCCTCACTCTGGACTGATCTGATTTTGTGGGTGTGTGAATACCGAGTGTGTGTGTGTGTGTGTGTGTGTGTGTGTGTGTGAGAGAGAGAGAGAGTGAGTTTGCAGCTGCATGTTTTTCAAAAATGCACTTCTTATCTTTTCAAAGCCAATAGAAATTTGCTTGACCATAGCATCCAGTACTGTATCCACTGGTGTTAGAATCAGCTTTTGTACAGTGTAAGCTTAAACTTAAAACAGTATTCTTGCAACTTGTTTTAAAGTCCAACTGAAATTAAATTGCATGTTTTTTTCTGTAACAGCACACATGTCTGCTCCGTTAATTACACGTCTTGTGCTCAGTTTTACAGCCATGCTATCAGCTCTGCAAGGCTTGGAGCTGATGCTAACATTAGCATGCTAACATGCTACCGTGATGATGTTTTGCAGGAATAATGTTTCACTGTCATAGTTTAGCGTTTTAGCGTGATAATATTTGCCGATCAGCACTAAACATAAAGTGCAGCAGAGGCTAGTTTTCGGTATTGGGTGATAAATTATTTGACAAATGAACATTTTAACACCACTGCTTACAAAACAATGTTTGTGGGCCACTGCTCTTGCTCATTATTGTCTCTTTCCCGCCACCCACCAGTATGTCCCATATACTTTACGTCAATATGCTGCCATGCAAATAAAAATAATAATAAATAAAAATTTCTAGTCTGTAGCAAAGTTACAATTTGTATAGCGCTTTTCACGAACTCAAAGTCGCTTTACAGAATGATAAAGAAACATGACAAAAACAAACAAAAAAAACAAAACAGCTATGGATAGGCAGAGGAGAAGAGATGGGTCTTAATGCGAGACTGGAAAATGGTAAGGGACTCAGAGTTGCGGATCTCACGGGGGAGGGAGTTCCAGAGCCTGGGAGCTACCCTGGAAAAGGCTCTTTCCCCAAGACTGCTGAGCTTGGACTTGGGGACGTAGAGGAGACCAGCTGAAGTGGATCTGAGGGACCGCGAAGGTTGGTAGGGGGAGAGGAGGACAGTGAGGTATGAAGGGGCCAGGTGGTGAATGGCTTTGTAGGTGAGGACCAGGATTCTGTATGTAATCCGGTGAGAAATGGGAAGCCAGTGTAGTTGTTTTAGGACTGGAGTGATGTGGTCCCAGGATTTGGAGCAGGTGATGAGTCGTGCTGCTGAGTTCTGGACCAGTTGGAGTCTTTTTATGTAGATTGAGTTGATACCAAGGAGTAGCGAGTTGCAGTAGTCCAGCCGTGAAGAGATGAAGGCGTGAATGAGTCTTTCAGCAGCAGAGGGTGTGAGTGAGGGTCTGATTTTGGCAATATTTCGAAGGTGAAAGAAGGAGGTTTTAATGACATGACGGATGTGGGGCTCAAGGGAGAGGGTTGAATCAAAGATCACACCGAGGTTAAAGGCCTGGGGAGATGGGGAGACAATGGTGCCATCGATGGTGAGAGTGGGGTTATTGGCTTTGCTGAGAGTGGATTTGGAGCCTATGAGGAGGAATTCTGTTTTATTGCTGTTTAGTTTGAGGAAGTTGTGTTGCATCCAGGTTTTAATCGCTAACAGGAGTTGATGTGGGAGAGGGGGGGGTTGTGGGGGGATTTGGTGCCGAGGTAGATCTGGGTGTCATCAGTATAACAGTGGAAGTTCAGGTTGAAGTGGCGGAGTATCTGACCAAGGGGGAGGATGTAGATGATGAAGAGAAGGGAGCCAAGTACGGAGCCTTGGGGAACGCCTTGGGTGAAGAGAGATGAAGTGGGATCTGTTGGAAAGGTAGGAACGGAGCCGGGTGAGTGCAGTACCTTCGATACCAAGGTCTTGGAGTCTGGAGAGCAGGATGTTATGGCTCACAGTATCGAAGGCTGCACTCAGGTCAAGAAGAATAAGGATGCTGAGGGAACCGGTGTCAGCAGAAGTGAGGAGGTCGTTGAAGACTTTGAGGAGAGCAGTTTCTGTGCTGTGGAGGGGGCGAAAACCAGATTGGAAGGGTTCGGATTGGTTATTGGCATGGAGATGAGTTTGTAATTGTGAGGCGACTATACGTTCGAGGGTTTTAGACAGAAAGGGGAGGTTGGATATTGGGCGGTAGTTATTAAGGGAAGCGGGGTCCAAACCAGGTTTTTTAAGGACTGGGGTGACAGCGGCAGTTTTGAAAGCAGAGGAGACAGTTCCAAGGGACAGTGAGGAGTTGAAGAGGTTAGTGAGGAAGGGGGAAAAGAAGGGGAGGCATGACTTCATGAGAGGAGTAGGGAGGGAGTCAAGTCAGCAGGTAGTGGGTTTGGAAGAGCTGATGAGTTTAGAGATTTCAGGGGTAGTGACCAGGTCAAACTGGGAGAAGAGGCAGTGTGGAGGAGGAGGTGGGAGGTCAGGCATAGGGGGAAGAGGGTCCGTGGTTTGTTATTAATCAACGGCATAAATTTTCACAAAAATGTGAACTAGGTGTAAAAGATTCATGCAGACCGCCTTGGTTAATTCCACTTATATTTACTGATTTCTCTGTAAAGTTTGGTCTTAACACACTCACCATCTTTGCTGTTAATCAATCACGAACACAGATCACTTTGACCATTTTTTTTTACTGCAAAAACAAAATGAATTTTGTGATTTCAGTTGGACTTTAAGTTTAAAATAGTTATCAAAGTACCAGTCAGTATTGCCTTGTATCTACTTGTATCTTCTATCTCTGCTCCTGTGTTGTTGTGTCCTAGTGCTATGCTTTTATTTTGAAATCGCATCATATTAAGGGTTGAATAAAGGACAAAGTGAGACATACATAAACACTGCTTATTGTTTCAGATGAGGGTGGGTGGGATTGACTGTGAGCACTTACAGAGAATAATGGAATCAGACAATTTACCATCACTGCTTTCTGTCAGAGTGTTTAGGGAGAATTATCTTTGTCTGCTTCAATAACCAGAATATAAGATACAATAATATAGGGACATGGATATGTACAAATAGGTACATTAAACCTAAAGTGTTAGGTGTAGTGAGGCAAAAGAAGACTTGTAGACAGGGTGTCAGCACCCTATTGTCACATACTCACCTAATAATTACCAAAAAGTACCACACATCCTAAAAATAGACAACATATCTGTAATATTAAAGGTGATAATTAACTGGACAAGACTCATGATAGACCACATGGTTTAATATGTGAGCTGTCTGACAGCCAAAAAGCAGAATGTGTTGTTTACTTCTTGCAGTGAAGACACACTTATGACCTAAATGTAATGAAAGGCGTTAAAGGCTTCCAGTGGTGTAATTCAGTGTAATCAGGACAGCTCCCATCATCTCCTGGTGAGTTTTGTCTCCAGGAGCTGGGGAGTTATTTAAAAATTAAACTTTATAAAACTATTTAAAAAACGTTTATTAGAGCCCCTATGGATTTAAAAACTAATGGTATGTTCAAAAAAGACACTGTGGCAGAAAGCAATGTGCTCTAATACCTGGTATCCAACTGCCTGGCCACAGATCTGACCCTGGATGCTAAAGCTGTTTCTCAATACCGAGTTCGCCAAGTTCGGACTTTAAAGCTCGGACTTGGCAAGTTCGGCTCGGGTACAAACTCCCAGGAAAGGGAGCACGCAGTCAGTCATTCACCATTTGGAACAGCAACGACTTGATGACGGACGGACCCGTTAGCGGGCGCGACCTCACATCTCCAAAAAAGAAAATCAACCACATATTTGGATTTTAAACAACTACATTCCAGTAAAAAACCCTCTTAAAACGGTATGCTCTGACACAGCAGTATTTTAACTTACAGTTATGAGTCTTCTCCTCTGACATTTCCGCCTTTTGGCACAAAATGCATTCTGGGAAACCTGGCAATCCAGGTACAAGTCACCACCGATGCAGGCTCTGTAAAACGAGGGGAGCAAGAACACATCCAGGTATTTAGGCTGCGACTGATGACAAGAACACAGATTGTAATGCCTTGTTCACATTGCCAGACCAATTCCTTTTTTTGGCATATCCAGATTGATTTTAGAAAGTCTGGACAGCAAAGGTAGAACCAAAGCCTTGCGGGTGCTGAAAGGGGACTTTTCACCTGAGCGTCTGTTTTAAGGTGTTGGGGAGTACCACATGTTTTAAAAAGTAATATAACGCCTATAGTGTTTTCAGAGAAAGCTGTGTGAAGTGAAACATTTCCTCAAGTGATCAGCTGGAGAAAATTTAAAGAATCTGTTAGTGTGGAGAAAGAAGTGAGCTCACACCAGGCTGCTGTAGGCTCCAGTTTCAAATGATTGGAGAAGCTCCAGGTTATGGGTCATTAAGTTCCTTTGGTAGAAAGGGAATGAGGGATGAGGGGATGAAGGGGGAAGTTGAATGTTTGAAGGGAAGGGAAAGGGAGGTTGGGTCGAGCAATCAGAGTCAAACGAGGCCGGCTGAGTAGCACAGGTCTAGATAGGCTTGTCAGGTGAGAGGTGTGGTTAAAGTGTGGCCCTGCTCCCGAACCTAAGTTAACTTCATATACAGGTGCTGGTCATATAATTAGAATATCATCAAAAAGTTGATTTATTTCAGTAATTCCATTCAAAAAGTGAAACTTGTATAATGTATACATTCATTCCACACAGACTGATATATTTCAAGTGTTCATTCCTTTTAATTTTGATGATTATAACTGTCAACTAATGAAAACCCCAAAATCAGTATCTTAGAAAATTAGAATATTGTGAAAAGGTTCAATATTGAAGACACCTGGTGCCACACTCTAATCAGCTAATTAACTCAAAACACCTGCAAAGGCCTTTAAATGGTCTCTCAGTCTAGTTCTGTAGGCTACACAATCATGGGGAAGACTGCTGACTTGACAGCTGTCCAAAAGACGACCATTGACACCTTGCACAAGGAGGGCAAGACACAAAAGGTCATTGCTAAAGAGGCTGGCTGTTCACAGAGCTCTGTGTCCAAGCACATTAATAGAGAGGCGAAGGGAAGGAAAAGATGTGGTAGAAAAAAGTGTACAAGCAATAGGGATAACCGCACCCTGGAGAGGATTGTGAAACAAAAGCCATTCAAAAATGTGGGGGAGATTCACAAAGAGTGGACTGCAGCTGGAGTCAGTGCTTCAAGAACCACCACGCACAGACGTATGCAAGACATGGGTTTCAGCTGTCGCATTCCTTGTGTCAAGCCACTCTTGAACAAGACACAGCGTCAGAAGCGTCTCGCCTGGACTAAAGACAAAAAGGACTGGACTGCTGCTGAGTGGTCCAAAGTTATGTTCTCTGATGAAACTAAATTTTGCATTTCCTTTGGAAATCAAAGTCCCAGAGTCTGGAGGAAGAGAGGAGAGGCACAGAATCCACGTTGCTTGAAGTCCAGTGTAAAGTTTCCACAGTCAGTGATGGTTTGGGGTGCCATGTCATCTGCTGGTGTTGGTCCACTGTGTTTTCTGAGGTCCAAGGTCAACGCAGCCGTCTACCAGGAAGTTTTAGAGCACTTCATGCTTCCTGCTGCTGACCAACTTTATGGAGATGCAGATTTCATTTTCCAACAGCACTTGGCACCTGCACACAGTGCCAAAGCTACCAGGACCTGGTTTAAGGACCATGGTGTCCCTGTTCTTAATTGGCCAGCAAACTGGCCTGACCTTAACCCTATAGAAAATCTATGGGGTATTGTGAAGAGGAAGATGCGATACGCCAGACCCAACAATGCAGAAGAGATGAAGGCCACTATCAGAGCAACCTGGGCTCTCATAACACCTGAGCAGTGCCACAGACTGATGGACTCCATGCCACGCCGCACTGCTGCAGTAATTCGGGCAAAAGGAGCCCCAACTAAGTATTGAGTGCTGTACATGCTCATACTTTTCATGTTCATACTTTTCAGTTGGCCAACATTTCTAAAAATCCTTTTTTTGTATTGGTCTTAAGTAATTTTCTAATTTTCTGAGATACTGAATTTGGAATTTTCATTAGTTGTCAGTTTTAATCATCACAATTAAATGAAATAAACATTTGAAATATATCAGTCTGTGTGTAATGAATGAATATAATATCCTAGTTTCACTTTTTGAATGGAATTACTGAAATAAATCAACTTTTTGATGATATTCTAATTATATGACCAGCACCTGTAATCACAAAGAAGATCTAGCCAGGTCGATTACCTCCCGGCTCTGACTCTGCAATAAATCACATTGATTTTGTCTTCGCAGTGACACTCAAAAAGAAAGCATAATACCCAAAATGTTAATCTATCCCTTTACAGCTGCAGCATCTGTGTTTGCATAAATTCTCCTTCCATGATATGTGAGTGACATCTAAAAATGTGTACCTTTTATAGTTTGTGCATGGACAGAGGAGAGCTAGGTTGTAGGTACTGGTACTGTTTACAACTTCAACCCTGAACATCTTAATCAACTCCACGCAGACATTTTAGTTAGAATGACCAACCATCACAAAGTCCATTTGGGTGTCAAATGATCTCATACTGTGTAAGAAACCTTGTAATAATAGGATATTATGCTCATTTCCATATACACTGTGTATGTATATGTATATTCTGACTGTTTCATTGCTCCAAGGCATTATGGTATTGGATTTTTAATGTCTTTTTTATGATGCCATATCAATCCTCAGCTATGTAAATCAGTTGGACTTCAGCTGGAAACAGCTCAGTGGCACAAAGCTGAGCGCTGACACTTTAACAACACATTGTACAAACACCTTTAGACATTCATGCTAATGAAATGCTGTTTATTAATAGAGATTCGGCTCTATGTATTTTAGGTTTATACATTTAATTTCCAAACAATTCTTGGACAATTCTGCAATACCCCAAATTATGATGACAACGTTTTAAAAATTCTTGCAACTACAGTATGATTAAGGAAAGATCATGGTTATAATTAAAGAATGAGTGTATAGTTTTATTCTATTCAATATATCCCAAATGTGCAGGGCAAAACTAACAATGACAAGTACTGTGCATGGATCTAAATCCTGATATATATCCTCATATTCCTCTGAACACAGAGCTCATTGCTGTCCAACAACACATCACACTGCAAGCTTCAAAATTAATGTTTTTATGTTGCTTGCCCAGTTGGGCAAGTGGGTCAGAAATGTACTTGCCCGGAGTAAGTTTTAACTTGTCCCTAAATGGTTTTATTTATTAGCGCTTATCAATTAATAACAAGACTTAAGTTAATTGTCATGTTTAATCTTTATAAATAATAAAGTAAATTAAACAAAACAAGGACCTGGTGTGTCATAGATGTGATGCAACACATTTCTTGCATAACAAACAGTAAGACAACGCCCCTTCCTTCTCCCCAGATATGGACTCTGAGTGATAAATTAAACTTGTAAGGATGGGTATCGTTAGGATTTTACCGATACTGCTCTTTTTGATACTCTAATTGTTTCTTTTTCATTACTAAATAATTTCTTTTTTAAATACATTATTTAAAAAAGCAACAAATTCAGAACAGGTTTAGAATAGCGTATTTTAAGTATAATTAAACATTGTGTCTGGACCAGCAACAGTAAAACAGCAACAGCAGGCATTTCACTTTCCCCGGTGGATTACTTTAAAATGTAATCCAGTAAAATTACTATACTTGTTAAAAAAATGTTATCAGTAACGTAATCCAGGGACCACAACATATTATTAGTAGTATAGTATTGTAACCTGATTACCTTTAGTTACTTTTGGATTACTTCAATACCAAATACCCAAATAAAGCACTACACGTCAACAATACGCCAGTATCTGGTCCAACAATGACAAAAACTTTGTTTTGT